ATGGACTACCGGATATTCTTGTGCATTCCCCAGTCTTCATAAAGCTTATCCACAACCGCTGAAATACTCAAAAATGAGCTTGAAGATCCATGGCAACAAAACTGATAGATTTACAACTTTTATTTAAGGCAACCTCAACTGTTTTGAGCTTCGTTGAATTACATGATGCATCGTTTAACTTAATCGAACAATATTTTGATGTTTAGTTAATTTATTTGTATATTTCGATAAATGCCACTTGTCACTTTGATTTAGTGGTCATTGAATATCAGTAACGTTAACTTGTACTTCAAAGATGTTTGTGCATTAGAATACTATCAAAATTGTTTGAATGTATCGACGTATATATTTCTCAAATAGTTATAACTCCTCAATTACGTGTATAGTTAATTTTGTTAAATTGTGTTTTTATTTGTGTTTGTATTAGATCTTTTATATTGTCTATCAATGGTTTTTGGTAACACTTCTAAACTTCTAAACTAAACACTTCTTCTTCTTCAAATGCCCTCTCCGCTATGGAGTTTGGCAATCATCATTGCTATTCGTATCTTTGAAGTTCTTCTTCTTCTTCTTTTTTATAAGTAAAATGCTTGTTCAATGTCGATTAATGCCTCTATTGGAGGTTATCACTCCATCTTTTGCGTGGTCGTCTGATACTTCTTCTACCTTTTGGTGATTTGTCCCTCGCTATTCTGACTAATCAGGTCTCTTCCATTCTGTTTATGTGTTCGTTCCATTCCTTTTTTCTGTTCAGTGTCCACTCATTTATTTCTGGTATATTGTAATTTCTTCTGATCTCTTCACTCCTCATTCGATCCCTCAGTGTGTTTCCTGTAATTCTCCTCAGTAAACGCATCTCCGCAGTTTCTAGTAGTTGCTCAGTTTTGGAGGTATCCGGTCTTGTCTCTGAAGTGTATGTCATTATTGGTCTTATTGTTGCTTTGTAGATTCTTGATTTCATGTCGGAATTAATGTGGGGATTGCGCCACATCGTGTTATTAAGACAACCTGCTATTTTATTAGCCTTTTGTACTTGATTTTTCACTTCCTTCTCCAGATCTCCGTAGCTAGACAATGTAATTTCTAGGTAATTTGTCTCCATTACTTGCTCAATGCTGATACCGTCGATTTCCAGTTTACATCTAGTTGGTTCTTTACTGATTACAATTGTTTTAGTTTTCTGTGTAGAGATCACCATATTAAAGTCCTTTGCCCTTGTGTTGAATCTATGGGTTAGTCTCTGTAGATCGTCTTCATTGAATGCAATTAGGGCCACATCATCTGCATAGCAGAGTATTCTGATTTCTTTGTTCCCCATTTTGTATCCTCTTCCTTTATTAATAGTATTGATGATTTCATCCATGATTAGATTGAATAGCGTTGGACTAAGCGAGTCTCCTTGTCTTCTTCCATTGCCCATATCTATTAGATCTGTAAGCTGGTCATCTATTCTGACTTCCATATTGTTGTTCTGGTAAATGTCCTTTGTTTTTATAACATTTAGTGGAATTTCTCTATCGTAAAGAAGGTGAATTACATCTTTAAGCTTGACTTTATCAAACGCTTTCTTGAGGTCTATAAGACATATGAATGCTGGTCTGTTATACTCTAGTGCTTTCTCGGTAATCTGTTTTATGATGAATACTGCATCTGTGCACGATCTTCCTGTACAAAAACCCTGCTGTTCATTCGCTAAGGTAATTCTCTGATTTATTTGGCCTTGCAATATTTTGGTTGTAAGCTTCAAAGTGGTGTTTAATAAGTTGATACCTCTGTAGTTTTCAGGTTGTTTTTTGTCTCCTTTGTTGTATAGTAGGATAAGCTCGCTTTTCTTCCACTCTTCAGTTATTTTATTATGTTTGATAATTTTGTTAATTAGTGCTGTTAGCTGTTCTGTTAATGCTTCTCCACCATATTTCAATAATTCATTTGGAATTCCATCTTTAGCTGCAGCTTTTCTGTTCTTCAGTTTTTCTAAAGTTTGTTTTACTTCTTGTACGGTTATCTCGACTTCCTCGTTTATAATGATTTCTAGTGTTTCTGGTTCCAACATCATTTGCTGTTCATCATTATAAAGCTTCTTTAGGTATTCAATCCATGTGTCGTTATCTATGTGTTTCGGTTCGATTAAGTCTTTCATCTCTGATCTTTGGCCTCTTATGAAACGCCATATTTCCTTTTGTAGACCGTAAAAGTCGTGTTCCATTTCTTTTGAGAAGCGTTCCCAGTGTTTGTTTTTAATTTTTCTTACTAGTGCTATTGTTTCGTTTCTTATCTTTTTGTAATTGTTGTATTCTTGTGGTGTTTTGTTAGACATGTATCTTAAGTAAGCTTTCTTTTTTTCTTTGCATTTTTCTTTCACTTCTGCGCAGAACCACGGAGTTTTGCGCTTTTGGAAATATTTATTTTTAAGAATTTTCCTTTCTCCTTTAGCTTCTTTTGCTGAATCTAGGATGCTTGCTTTAATTTTCGCCCAGCTTTCTTCGATTCCATCACTTTCTACGATGTGCACGTTGTCGAGTTTATCTTTGACTCTCTTTTGGTATAAAAGTTTTGTTGATTCGTTCTGCAGACTCTCGACTTTTACCTTTGTGGTGTATTCTTCTTTTTTATGTTTATTGTTTTTATTGTTACATATGCGTGTCGTCATTCTGATTTTTCCAAGTATAAGCTTATGGTCGCTTCCTATTTCTGCAGATGTTAGTGCTCTTATGTCCAAGTGCTCTTATCTTTGAAGTTGTTGTTCTAAATAATTGGTTAGGTGTGCACTGGAACCAGTCTCTTAAATTGCGCAGCCAAGATATACGTCGTCTCCCGACGCTTTGTTTGCCCTGAATCTTTCCTTGGATAACTAACTGGAGCAATCGGTACTTTTTCCATTCCAACTTTCTTCTCTTGATGGTGGTCAACAGCTCCCGTTATTTTTTCATTCTTCGAAGAACTACACTATTTGTTATTTTGTCTGTCCAAGGTATTTTCAAAATTCTTCTATGTATCCACATTGCAAAGGCCTCTAGTTTATCAGTATTGCTCTTGTTTTAAGTCCAAGTCTCTACTCCGTATAGCAGTATGGAAAATATGTAGCATCTAACCAATCTCATTTTCAGGTTTAAGTTAATGTCATGACTTCCCATAATGTCCTTCATATTAACGAAAGCAGCTCGAGCCTTTCAAATTCTAGTTTTTATTTCTTCTGTGACGTCATTGTTGCTATTAACACTTGTTCCCAAATATTTAAATTTGTGTACCCGTTCGATTTCGTTATTGTGAATGTACAGGTTTGCATTCAATCTTTGTTTTTTTTTTTAATATTTATGAATTTCGTCTTCTTGACATTCATTGTTAACCCTTTCTCTTCGCTAGCTGTGACTACCTTTTTAAAATAGACTCCCTGTACTGTCTCCGCCATTAAAACCGTATCATCTCCGTATCTAATATTATTAATTGGTTGGCGGTTAACTTTTATCCCAATATCTTCTTCCTCCAATGCTTTCTTCATAATTTCTTCCGAATAGAGATTAAATAGCATTGGTGTTAGCACACATCCTTGTCTAACTCCTTTTTTAATTTGAATTTCATTTGTTGTGCTATTTTCGATGCGTGCGACTGCCTTGTTATTATATTACAGAGTAGATATTATTCTTATACCGGGAGTGTCTAACTGTTTAGCTTTCAAGATCTCTAAAATTTGGTCATGCTTGACGTTATCAAACGCCTTGTTGTAATCAATGAAATAAGCAAATACATCTTGATTCACATCCACACATCTCTTGATGATGAAGATGATAAAGGCATATATTGCTTCGCGAGTTCCATATCCCTCCCGGAATCCAAACTGAGTTTCTCCGGATATCTTCTTCTAATTTTATGTAAATTCTATTGTGAATTATTTTGAGAAACATTTTTAAGGTATGACTCATCAGACTGATCGTGCGATGATCACTGCAGTGCTTAGCATGTGCCTTTTTGGGAAGAGGGACAAAGGTTTATCTTAGCCATTCTTCAGGAATTATTCTGTTTCCATAAATATTGTTAAATAAGTCTACTAACAAATGGATTCCATCTTCATCTATCAACTTTATTATATCCCCTGATAGCTCGTCTGATCCTGGAGCTTTGCTATTCTTTGATGACTTCACCGCTTGCATTACGTCTTCTTTGCTTATTTCAGGATCTGTCTCCTCTGAAAAATTATCACAAGGAGGCTGCCTTTAATCGTCAAACAGTTCTTCTATGTATGTCTGCCAATGTTTTAGTTTCTCCTCTGTTTCCATTATTATGTTACCTTGTTGGTCTGTAAGTACTCCCTGCTTCCTGTTTCTATTGTTGATTATTTCTTTAACTTTCTTGTGAAGATAGAACGAATCATATTTGGCTTCCAAGTTTTCAATCTCCTTACATTTGTCTTGTAACCATTGTTTTTTAGCGTCGCGGATTTTTCTTTTGATCTCTGTGTTCATTTGCTATACTGTTCTTCATTTTTACCTTTCCATAGTCTTCGAGAATTCATTAATAACAAAATTTCGTGACTCATCCATTCGTTCTGTTTCTTTGGTTTTTCTCTCTTCAGAATATTTTTAGCGGGCTCCAGCACGTTATTTTTAATAATGGCCCAGTGTTTATTAATGTCTAGTTCTTGTATCTTCTCTGTCTTTTCAAGTTTTTCAAGATTTGCCTGAATGCTTGTTTCTACCTGATATTTAATTGTTTCATCATTTAAACGATTGATATATATTACTTGTTTGGGCTTAGGTGTTTGTACTCTTTTAAGTTTTATTCGGAATTGTGCCACTACTGGATTGTGCTCTAACCCTATATCTGCTCCTGGATACGTTTTCACAGATTCAATTGTGTTTTTATATGTGTTGTTTATGGTTATACAATCTATTTGATTTCGTATAATAGGGTCTTTTGTAAACACTGCCATGTGAAAATATCTTAATGTTCAGTTCATATATAATTCAAAATGATGCTTTTAATGAAGTATTGGTTTGTTTCAGAGGCCCACCCGGAAAAGTTCAACTCTAGGTTAAGGAACAAAATGTTTTACGGTCAAATGGGAGGAAAGGATCTCTTGAAAAGAAAATGGAAAGATCTGGCTGACTTCGTGATCTTAGAGTGCGATGGGCAAAATATTACGCAGAAATTGAAGGAATTGAGGGTCCATGCAATAGTTTTTCTTAATATCTCTAGGTAAGACAAACATAACTTAAACTCTGTATAATAAAATGTGTATAAGATGGAAGGCAACCGTATATACGTATTTCTGACTATTGGTTGTCTTCAGTACGGTACAGCCAAGTTAGAAAAGGAGCATATTACCTTGGGAAAGTATCACTACAGGAGCAATGCGAGCAATTCGAGGCAATAATGTTAGAAGCCTCTGAGGTTTCCAGAGCAACAACTAACCTATTCACGGAGAAAGCTAAGCTACCTGAGGAAAAGAATGCAAACGTTTAAAATGTTTCAAACAATTTGAAAAAGGTTAATGCGAGTTAGTGGTAAAATAAAGGTAGAAGGTATCGGCATAGCTCGCAACAAAAGAAAAAATATATGTAATAAAATATGTGTATAAGATGAAAGGTAACCGTTTATACGTATATACGGTTTATATTTAATATGGGTAATAATAAAATCATTTTATTTTTCGTTTCAGTTACGGTGGTGGTACGCATCCATGGAATAGATCAATGGGTACGCACGAACCAAATACGGACGATGGACTGATAGAAGTTGTTGGTTTAACAACTTATCAATTGGTGAGTACTGTGAATATATACATTATGTGAAATAACTGTTTAGAATATACACTTGCGTGCATAGAAATCGGCCCACTGTAAACTTTTGACTTTAACTATATTTTTTTCAAGAAATATTCATCAGATCACAAAAACAAATATACTGTTTGAAAAACAATTTAATATGCTTTAATGTGAGTATAAATTTATCAAGAAGGCTTATCGTTTACATGCGTAGTAACCGGTAAACAAATGAAACGTGTTTATGGGGTGATTGCCACGAAAATAACAAATTTGTCTAATTGTAAAAGTATTGCCTTTGCAAGTGAAATTTGCATATTATTCATAATCTCAGCAGTGTTCAAGTGTATTAGTTTAATGCTTACTACACCACAAAAAGCCGCCCAAGTTATTGCTCTAATCGAAAATGAACTTAGTCAGCGAGCTGTTGCTAAACAATTGGATATGATACGCGCAGCGGTTCGAAGAGTGTACCAACGTTACGAGGAGACTGGATCCTTTCATAGGCGACCTGGAACAGGCAGACGGCGATTTACAACCTCTCGTGATGACCGCTTTATTGTGTCAACAACATTAAGAAATCGTCACCTTAATGCCGTTCAACGACAGCTCCTTGAGGTGGGAAGAGTGGCTGTTAGTCAGTGGACAGTGAGACGAAGACTGCGGGAAAATAACCTGACCCCTAAAACACCTGCGATTGGTCCAAAACTTACTCCAGCTCATCGGCAAGCACGCCTGCGTTTTGCACAGGATCATCGGAATTGGACGTTGGAACAATGGGGATCTGTTCTGTTCTCAGATGAGACTAAAATATGCCTTTATGGTAGCGACCGAAGAAGGAAAGTTTACCGGAGACCAGGAGAGAGATTTGCATAATGCTGCTTTGAAGAGCGGAGTGCTTATGGGGGTGGTTCCTGTATGATCTGGGGTGCAATTTCTATAGGAGCACGAACCGATATTGAGTTCATTCGTAGGAACGACCGTGTTCACGGAAGAAGAGGTTTAACGGCTGCCAGATATATCGAGGAGATTTTAACAATTAATGTGGTACCTTACGTCGACTACATTGGAGACGAATTTATCTTTATGAATGACAATGCAAGGGCACGCACCGCAAGAATCGTACAAGGTTACATTGCAGAAGTCGGTTTTCAGGTTATAGACTGGCCAGCAAACAGTCCTGACCTAAATCCGATTGAACATTTATGAGATGAGCTAAAACGAAGAATTCGAGCTAGACTTCATACCCCAGACTCGATCCCAGAGCTTATTCTTGCAGCAGAAGAAGAGTGGCTTAACATCCCACAAGCAACAATAGCAAACTTGATTAGATCTATGCCTAATCGTATGAGAGATGTTATTAGGGCAAGAGGAGGTCATACCCATTATTAAAAAATTAAGTGTTAAGTTTTAAATTGTCAATAACCCTATTTATGTTAATAATAAAAAAGCTTAATTTGCGTAATGAATTCATTTCACTATGTTAAACATAGGAAGCCGAAATAAGTTTTCATAAATTTATACTCACATTAAAGCATAGTAAATTGTCTTTCAAACAGTATATTTGTTTTTGTGATCTGATGAAGAATATTTCTTGAAAAAAATATAGTTAAAGTCAAAAGTTTACAGTGGGCCGATTTCTATGCACGCAAGTTTATATTCGTTTTTTGTTTTTATTTTGTTAATGTATTTTTATCTGCTACAATTGGAAATGTATTTGCTGTTTAATTGAAATATGGATTTATAAGTGAAAAGTTCAAACGACAGTTTTTGCAATATTTTCTGAGTTCTGAGTTTTTTATTTGACAATAACTTTAAATCGTAAATGCCATTTCATTCAGCTTGGAGATTAGGCTATTACTAAGTCGTATACTTATGTGATTATATGGAATATTTCAATTATAATTTTTTTCTACGTTTCTATATTTCCAGAAATATAAAAATGCATTTCGAAAGCTTCCAATTTTCATTTTTCTTGACTACTGATCTGACCTAAAGTTTGCAATATCCGATGGTGTCGTGAAAACGTGTGCTATATCAATAAATACCGAAAAAATCCATGCGACAAGCCAGAAGTCTTCACCATGGCTATAAAATGAAGTTAAGATTATCAGTCCTGGCTAGAGATGGGACAAGTAAGCATGAAAGGATCTATACGTATATGTTGAGTCTTGCAAATTTTAGTTAAAGAACAGAGAATTGAACAAATCGCAAATATAAAAACTGCTGTTTTATCATGAGCAAATACTTTTTTAGTGTTTGATTAAGATATATCTAGTCTGTGTCTAGTTCGCGAGCGTCTGTGTTTATTATACACGAAATCTTGGCTAAATATATGAATAGAATTAAAACTTACAAAATCTCTGTTAATATTTTACCAATGCGTGTATACAGTTGCGAAACTGCAACAATCCGATTTATAGAAGCCTGGAAATCATTTTTGATAACATGGAATCAGATAAGACACAAGGTTTTGAATTTTCTCCTTGCCATTCCAACAATCAAACAAAACTGGAATTAACTATCGTTTATAATCACAGAGGCGGGAGAATCCGATTATATCAAAATCAAACGTGGAGTTCAACAGGGATGTATAATGTCACCCTTGCTGTTTAATATGTACTCTGAGGAAATCTTTCAAGAAGCAGTAGAGGATGTTGAAGCGGGAATTCAGATTAACGGAGAATGTATTAATAACATCAGACACGCGAATGATACGATGGTATTTGCTGACAGTTATAAAGCCCTCAAGGAGTTAATGAATAGAATCACAACAGTTAGCCAGAGATATGGACTTTCACTGAGCATTAAGTAAACAAAATGTATGATGATCTCTTAAAAGGAACAGCAAATTGAAATAGTTGGTGTGAATGGTCAACCACTAGAAGGGTTAAAAACATACACCTACCTTGATACGAACATAATTGAAATTTCTGACCACTCCCTAGAAATAAAACGTAGAGAAAGCAAGATCTGCATTTCAACAAACGGCTAAGCTATTCAAATGCCATGATTTATCAGTACCCATAAAAATCAGATTACTACGATGTTGTACGATGTTTCCTATACTAATTACTATTTAACTGGGGATAAGCCACAATTAAAGATAAAAATACGTTTATTGATGTTTCAATTTCCACTTCGGAAATCGTTCTTAAAATACAAACAGTAAATAAACAATTTTTGTTTTTTGTTACATAGTGAAAAATTCTTCTAATAATTTAATTTTATCTAACTCATTTATATTGACAATTCAGACATATATTATGCATTTGAGAATATCCGTCAGAAAAAAAATCATAGCATGTAATTCGTCTTTAAAAAGACAAACACATGACATGATGACAGTAAAATTCTCCTGTTAGTGATTCCATAGTAATTTATGAGGGAAAAACCAGCAAAAAAAACCTCATAATACTATCCCGACATGGTAAGTATTTGTTCGTGCATTTAGTTTACCTTTAGCACCAAAATTCTGATTTTATATGTTTCGTTATTTAAAAAACATAAATGATGTATCCTCTACATGTTACTGACTTACTAATATTGGTATTTTCCCATAACTTCCTCTTTCAATATTAGTAACCAGATCCTACTACATTCTGCCGAGGAATTTGCGACACAATTGGCATCATTTAGCATAATTAGAGCCGCTTCTTTGATTTTTCTTTTTTCACCATCCGTTTCTTTTAGGACTACATTTGAATTATTCCATTGAACCCTATGTTCATTATCCCATGCTTGTTTACATATTTGAGATCTATCAAATTCTCTATTTTTAATATAAGATTGATGTTCACTTATTCTAACATTTAATGGTCTTGATGTTTCACCTAAATAAAACTGATCGCATTCACAAGGTATTTTATAAATGCAATTCTTTGTCCTTTATTGTTCATTGTTAGGTTTGGTTTTGGACAAAATAGATCACAACGTGTTTGTTGTTTTGAATGTTGTTGAAATGTTGAATTCATTTCCTATCCTTTTAAGATTTTCTGATAATCCTTTTATGTACAGTAATTTTAAATCAAATCACAATATTAATGTAAAAAAGGGAATAATTAAATCCTTATACGATAGAGCCAAAATTACTTGTTCTAACAAAAATTCGTTCTTGGAGGAGAAACATGTGTTAACATCTGTTTTATTAAAAAATGATTATAGTTTATCGTTTATAAATAAGGAATTTTCAACAATCGATCGAATAAAACAGAACAACCTAGAACAAGATCCTACAGCATACACAAGGAATAATACGAGGAAAATAACAATACCGTACATAAAAGGATTATCAGAAAAACTTAAATGGATGGGAAATAAATTCAACATTTCAACAACATTCAAAACAACAAACACGTTGAGATCTATTTTGTCCAAAACCAAACCTAACAATGAACAAGAAAGGACAAAGAATTGCATTTATAAAATACCTTGTGAATGCGATCAGTTTTATTTAGGTGAAACATCAAGACCATTAAATGTTAGAATAAGTGAACATCAATCTTATATTAAAAATAGAGAATTTGATAGATCTCAAATATGTAAACACGCATGGGATAATGAACATAGGGTTCAATGGAATAATTTAAATGTAGTCCTAAAAGAAACGGATGGTAAAAAAAGAAAAATCAAAGAAGCGGCTCTAATGGTGCTAAATGAGGCCAATTGTGTCGCAAATTCCTCGGCAGAATGTAGTAGGAT